TAGAACACAACTATGGCTAAGTTTATCTATATATGGTAATATTATCTTATAGTCGTTTCATAGTCATTCTGAGTTAGGAAATGTATACATATATAACTATGGGATTGCATCGTCAGGGGCTAGTATTGTGTCATTCTCATGTAGCTGATCAGGCTGAGCTGAAGGATCTGAGTCATCAGGGCAATCTGGGTCCCATAGCATGTGATCCAAGATTGTTACACCTATTCTTTCTCATTAACTTTAATATAAATACCATATGGAAAGTTTTCATAAGAAGTATTTTTTAATTTAAAAATATAAACAGCTGGAAGTTTAATTCTATTTGTTATATATGCAAGCATAACAGTAAAAGAAGATCTTTCATATCCAGTGATACGAATATTGATAGATTTTTTGCCTTTTGTATTAATAGTATTATTGCTTGATAAATCAAACTATATAAGAGTTTTGTTCATATTATAGATATATTATAATAAAAAATCATATTGAATTCAATAATATAATATATAATTCAAAAAAGATTGTTGTTTCTCAATTAAATCTGATGAAAGGTACTAAACAACAGTTGTTTTATATTTATTAGAAAGTTTATATTGTGCAAAAAATATATCAAGCTATTGATTAGAAAACTTGAATCATATAATATTAAAATAATATAATTGAAATTTAATGCTTTGAAACAAATCTATAGCTTTTTTTGTAACTATTTTATATGTAAGTATATTTCCATTAGCTTGTGTTTCACCAATCTAAGTAAATAATTTATCTTCTAAATTAGAATACTTTACTAATTTATCTGGATGAAGCTTTTTAATATATGAAGCAGCTAATAGTAGTTTTTTTTTTTTTCCAATTACATATATGTTTTGGTTATTTATTAAATCTCCTAACAGTTTCATATATATTTCTATTATTGTTTTCAAAATATTCTATAATTATTGATTTTTCTTTAATATTTCATTTACAATAAACTTTTAAAGATAAATCTTTTTAAGCTTTTTTGTATTATTTATTTGAAGTAATACTCATCTTTAAATAATTAAAATAAGTAATCATGTTTTAACTTATATATATTTAATATTATACAACTATTTATATCCCTTTTATATATAATATACTTCCATATATAATATCTAAATTAATGTTTTAAAACAATAAAATTTTTAAAATACCTAGGAATACTTTAGCTAACAAAATACAATAATTATGTTTTTGATTACTTTTTGTTATTTTAACAATTAATTTATTTTTATTATTAATAAATTCATATTATTTTATAATTTTCTTAAAAATTTTAAAAACTAAATATATAAATTAATATTTTTTTTAAAAAAGTTATAATGTTTTTAAAATACTTAAATATTTTCTATATTAGTAAGATAAGATTGTTTTTTAATGTTTATTTATATTTATTTAATTTATTATATTTGAAAAAATTTCTTTAAATCTAATAATATTTTTGAAGCTGTCTTTAATTTTTGAAAGTTTTTCAAAGTATTTTGAATCTTTTATCTTTTATTATTCTTATTATTGAAACCTATAATAATTCTTTGAAACATGTTACATCTTTTTTGTTTTTTATTAGATATAAATAGTTTAAAAATTTTTTATAATACATATTTTAAAAAATTATTATATATTTCTTTACATAATTACTTATCCCCTTTAAAATATGAAAATTACTTTATTGTTTGAAATATGCTTATAAAATTATAATTATATATATAATCCTAATAAAAAAAATTAAAATTGAATTTTTTTATGATTTGATAATTATCTATTTCAAATTAAATATACGTAAATTTAAATATATATTTATTATGCTGACTTTAAAATATACACTGATAGTATGGCATAGCATAGCATAACTTGATTTATACATTAAAATTAGAATTTATTAACTTAAATAATAATAATTAAATGAAGAATTTCTATTAAAGACTTTTTTACTTAATTTATATCATTTTTAATAACACAATAATTAACTCTGATCCTATAGATATCCAAATAAATTATAATCGAATTAAAAATGCCATAAAAAAGTTACAATAATGTACAATTATTTAGTTTTCAAGCTAATTCCACCCTCTCGATGTGTTCGCACTTTCAAAAGATATCATCATCCTCAATATTCCACCGTCCTTCACTACCTTCCATCTTCTCTTTACCAGCTCGTTCTCGTTCTTTCCAATACTCATGGTTAAACTCCCAATATTTTTCCCCAGTATCGGGCTCAATTGTCCTTCGGAACCATCGTGGCATGTGATCTTCACTCAATCCACGTTCGCGATTTTTTCGTTTCTCGCGTTGTTTCTCTTCCAATCGTACCTTTTCCGAGCTTGCAAGATCATATGATCCATTTTCCATGGCTCGTTGGTCTGGCCTCAATCTGCTATCCGTGGGTGCCACCCAGTTTATCAGAGAATCGGGAAGGTCGTTCAGCGTTATTGAGAATGGCGTCAAGTTGAAAGGAATTGGTTCTTCCGGTAACGGATTTCGTTTCCACAATAAATATATGGGTCTTCGATTAACTTGCATTGAATTTGAAGGTGATGGTGACGGTAGCACATCATCACTTGTGGATGTGGCATTTAACGCCGCCTTATCACTACCCAGATCATCCTCCTGTGATGACGAAAGTAAACTGGCGTTACTTCTTCTCGCCACTAAACGTTCATTCCATCGTCCGGCAATTTCCCATATCTCCTTATCATTAGAATCTTTAACATATCCCCGTATTTCAAATGCATCTTTTCCCCGCCATCCTCGAGCCTTGAATGTTAGCACGCATTTGTCACCCGTTATATGATTTATGATCACCATATCGCCATAATGATCTATCCACGGTGTACCAACTATTAGGTTATTGACACAGGTGGTCACCTTTTTCCATGAATAGTGTTCAGAAAATGCACCGGGATTCCCTTGGGCTATAAATTCTTCCGGTGATCCATTTGCATCGTTCGGCCAACGATCTTTGGGGATTTTAAGGTTTACATGAGATACACCCTGCGGTAGAACTTCAAATGATTTGCCCCAGAATTTCGATTTTACATCAACTTCGGCGAAGAAATCATAATTTGGCGATTCACAATAACAGGCACTTATGGGCTAAAATGACGAGCAGAGTTAGAAAATTAAAAAGTCTTAGCAAAACAAACTATCATATAAAATTTCTTTTGGACAGGCGACTTACAGGATGATGACTAACTTGTTCCGAGATATACCGGAACGCTTTGTCGGGTCTTACATATTCATAAGTCTCCCCCTAAAATACATAATAGATTATCACATTAATGAACCAATTCATATTCAAAGATCAAGCTCATTCTCAATGCCGCTCATGGGAACATACCAACAAGGGATTAAAAGGTTTCGCAATTCGTCCTACTGTACTCGAATAATTGCTCATCGCGAATGCTGCAACATACAAGATCCGCTCGGTACTGCATTTTTGTCGTGCGGCAATGTCCAACAGCTCACTATACTCCATATCTTCGGCCATCCGTTGTAACATCGATGTCGGTTCATTAAAGTACACCGGCAACGTAATCTTGCTCAAATCCTTACCTATCGAATTCTTTAGTATTGACCATAGGGATACTTCGGGACGTAAGGATTTTTGGTCAAGTGGCAACTGATCTCTTATCTCCTCCGGATATCCAAAATATGAACTGGAAATATACGGTATTACTACATCACCTTTACCTTCACTTGTGCTATCCAACTTTTGTCCACTACTATCAAGCTGTGTCTTTTCTTCATTTACTGATCTTTCGTCAATAGCATCATAGAATTCATCGTCAGAGTCATATTCATCCGCCAGGGTTGATGCTATGGTGTTGGATCGTTCTAACGACAGTCGTAGATTACTGATTTCTGTAGCACCCCTACTATGAGAGATAGATGTAAAATCCTCTGATTTATTTGACACGTGTTCAAAAGTTTCCGAGAGAGCACTCAACAGTGGGCTCGATGGTGAGATCTGTCCTTCAGCAACAGCAGCTTTCAGTTGTTTTTTTCGCATCTTTTGTTCCATCATGTTATGTTTAATCTCTTCTTCCATCTCGGCCTGTTCTATAACCAATTCCCGCATGCTATCTTCCCACAGTCGTTTTGTCTTCAATTCCTTTTCTAGTTTCTCGTGCCAATAAGAATCCCGTTCTTCGGACATTCGAAGCACATCATCAACCAGGGATTGTAGTATTTTGAGGGATTTACCAAATAATTCTACAGTCGTAGACTCCTTGGAATTTGGTAATGGTATGTTAGGCACCAATGACAACAGTGAATCCAACAACTGATTTTGGAGATCCAGTTGAACTCTCACGTTACTTATTGTCATTTGATAATTATCCTCGTGTGGTGCGCCGTCTATCTCCACAGAATCATCAGAAGATGATCTCGATCTATCCCTGTCAGAATAATCTTTAGTTGACTCCGAATTTTGAGTGGACATTACATTAACTTTGCTTCGACCCTGTCGTGATGGTTCACCATTGGCCGAATCATCCGCAGTGCTCGATCGACTGGTCTTTTCACCCTTCGCGAATTGCATAGTTGAATGCGTGAGCGCAGTTATCCATTTTTTTGCTTCGTTAGGATGGGTAGCCCGTAAATGGTATCTCACTGATCCTTTTCCTATTATCTCAAATCTATGAGGGTCTGATTTGTCTATGATGATCTCCGCAAATCGCATATTAATTGATCCACGACATGAACTGCCGGCATCATCTTGATTTTTGAAATATGACAGCATCCCTTACGTGAGCAATAACATGAATAGAAGGGAAATAACCTGATGAGACAAGGAGTATGGAAGCTTTAAAGATAAAAAATAGCAAAAAAATGAATAAATTAAAAATTCACCATTTTCAAGCACAAACCACCGATTCTTATAACCTCCAGCATAGTTTGTCCACTTCAATAAGTAGCCTTTTAGTTTTGGCGGTTGATTTGATATTAATGATGGTAATGATATTTGGCTTGACGGAGGCAAGGCTAGTATATATATATAAAATATTTGGTGAATATAATGAAAAACCACATATTATATATACAGTATGTATTATGCTAAACATCCAAATCTTCGTTTGGACACCACCCATATACCACAACTCGTACCTCCCAAATCACTTTCCCATTCTCTAATTTCCTAATCTTCTATTCCAAACCTACCCTGCTTAAGTTCATTTTTAATCCTCTCATCCTTGGTAAGGTCAGCTGCCACCTTTCGTTTTCGATCGCGTATAGACACGTCTGCTCCGTGATTCAAACAAAACTTGACCATTTCCAGGTCTTTCTTCTTTGCAGCATCGTGCAACAATGTCGATCCCGACGAACTCGGCAGATTTATATCAATCAATGATGAAGCACGAGGATCTTGAAACAAAAATTGGATGCCGACATAATTAGAATCGGATACATATGTTCGAAAGAGTTGGGAAATTTCTTCAACGTATTTTGTGCGATTTTCTAACAAGTTTGACAATTTTAGCACCCAAATGAAATATAAAATATAAGTGAATATCGTATATTGAATCTTTCAAAAATAAAAAAAAAATTTTATTATTTACCATCCAAAAAATCCGCTATAGATTGGTTTTTGGCAATATCTATCGCCTGCTTTCCCTCGCCGTTCCGCACCGCATCATTGATGTTTTTCTGTTTCAACAACAATTCACACACATCAATCCTCCCCATCTGGGATGCATAATGCAACGCTGTGTTTCCCCGATGATCTTGATGGTTGATGTCAATTTTATCGAGATGATTATTGATTATAAATTCTATAGTCTGATAGGAGGCACATTGAGTAGCCAACAGAAGAGGTGAAGCAGAAATTCCAGTTTGTGAGTACGATTGAGAGATAGAAGAGGCAGGTGAAGAAGGAGTGGATGATTGGTATGTTAGTAGGATTGTACTGAGTGCAGCTGTGTCGCCTTTATATTACATTTGAAAAGTAGGATTATGAGAATTGCTAATGATCAGATATCGTAAAGCAATGCATGCGGAATTACCTGAGCGGAGCGCTTCCAACAGTTTGTAGGTTTTCAAAGATTCTTCCACGGCTAAAAAAAAACAAAAACAAAAAAAAACATATGCATATATATATATTATGAAAAATGTAAAGAATACTTTGTTCCCTATTTCGGATCATATCCTTTAAAGGTGTCTCTACATATATTTTATCTACCCTTCTCGTAAAATTGACAATATAAAATATAAGCAAATACCGGCATTGGAATTTTTTCTTGGTGTCAACACCCTTAAACTAGGTGCCGAAGTTCGTCGTTGTTGTGAATTGGTTGACATTGCAATTATTGCAGCTTTCTGATTTCTGATTCGTCTGTAATCTATATACTCACAGAAGCGAGAGTTTTCACGTGCATACGAATTTTTGTTTGTATGTATATATACGCTCTTTGTGCATTAAACAAGGAAACCTAATACTCTATCAGCATCATTTTTCATAGCACCTTGCTAGTAACTAAACTACACGACTCGAGGAGGTAAGTGTTGAGTGTCGGCTATAATTCGTTATTCGGTCAGGGATATTTCTAAATTTGGGTTTGTGCGATGAAATAATTACTTTTGTAATAATGACATCATTCCATACTTTCTTCCGAAAGGTGCCTTTATGTTTTCAGTACAAACGTATTGATTCATATAATAAATTTAGTATAAGACCTATAGGTTGAAATTCGAAATCATTGGGAACCTCAATCATAACGTACATCACACATGCCAAACCAGTATCTGAAGCCATGTTTAGAATCACGGTATAACATTGCCCATCTCGACTCATCGCAAAACATACTTGCTGTCATCATGTTCAGGGAAATCATCTATCAAATGTGTGGACTCGCGTACAAGCATTAAAAATAATAATTATTAATAATCAATGGGCGTAAGTTTATTATTATACAAAGATGACAAACGCATCTGTAGAAAGTGAGTTTATTAAGTCGATAGGTGAGCCTAGCATTATTGTACATTGTATAAGTTTATAATATTTGTACACGTTTTCCTTAGCCAGTGCAATAAAGAACTTCCTAGTGATTATGAGTGTTCGGCCACTTGAAAATGTTTTTCAAGATGTCTTGTCAGGGCATCAATCTTTGGTATATGATAAATCATTAGGACATTTCGTTTTAGGTAAAATCGGTTATAACCGAAAAAAACTGACCTTTGCTTTCATTATTCCTAAATCAACTTCGGGCATTGCGACAAGGCATAAAAGCATGTTATTAACAGTTGTTACTGCAACGTTCCCTTCCTTTCCAAGAAAGTTATGAAAGGTAACCAATAATCAGTGGACATAAAAATGGGTAAATATAATCTTAACCAAGATTCATACCTCACACCCTATTAGCAAGAATTTTAGTCCATCGTCCCTCAACAGGTTCTTACCACTCTTTTCAAAAGTGTTCCAAATATTTGACGCTATGGCAGCATAACACCTAGCTCCACGATCTGAGTCAGA